GACATTTGCATGGTCCAAATTTGCACCTATAACATACCTTAACTATTCTTTAAGATTTAGAAGTCACTTTCCCTAAAGTTTTTTTGTTTTTTATTTTTTTTTCCTCAAGGAAATTTCCCCACTCTCATCAGCCTATATCTAGCACCCAGGAGCCACACTATGTATCATAGAATTGTATCCTAGGAAACCCAAACGTAATTTTCTGAGGACACGATGACCTCTTTCAGATAGATGGGTTCTATTTGAGGATCGCCTTGATTCATTTCAGAATCCTGGCACACAGAACCTGCTAGGCCATTGGTTATAGATAAATATGTATCAAGGAATTAATACTAGAATCCAGCACCTTATCACTCATTACCTGCTTTAACACTTCCAGTAATGTGAAGCTCACCATCTCATGAGGTGTTTGTCCCTCTTATTTATGGACAAGCATTAACATCTATTTTTTGTTAATGAAACCAAAATTCTTTTTCCTGTAATGCCTATGAGCCACTGACAGTCCTTTTACTCTTGTGCAACACAGAATACAGCCAATTCTTCTTCTATACAACAGTTCTACAACTTCCTAAAGACATACCCCTGGAGTATTTTCCTTTCAAGGCCAAATATTGTTATATCTATCTGCTGATTTGTGCATTCTATGGTTTCTAAAATAAGGCAAGTAGAGTTCACACAGAGTTTTCATAAAGAGTGACAAGGCAGAATACAAGGAAACCATTGTCTGTGTTATACTTTTAATCATGCAATTTACTGTACATATGCAAATTATTACAAAACAGGTAACAGCATATGCTAGTGAATCTTAATAATTGTCTATTCCCAATTTCACTCCTGTAAAAAAAAATCTGTTTTTCACAAGCACTGACTGAAATGTCTGAATCCTGTAAGACTTTTCTCTGACTTAAAATCAAAGGCATGTTCAAGTCACAAAACAGTGTAAATGTGTATATTGTAGTTTATATAAAGAATTAATTCAAAACAAAGTCTGACACATGCTTTAATTTTAGTATGGGGCTTTAAAACACTAATGCATTTTTTAAGACTGAAAAACATACATATCAGTCAGGATGGAGGAGGATTTATTTAGGAAGTAGGCTTAAAGAGAATAATCTCTAAACAAAATGTGCTAATGGAACTGAAAGAGGAAAAGTCTTGAGAAAGTGTCAGTTCTCTTGGCATTTTATCAAATTTCCCAAACAGAAGCAAGGACAGAAACACAGAGCACGAAATCTTAGGATAGTGGATATAAGAAAAAAGAAAATAACTCAAGCTTGCAACTCCATTCTCACTCAGTTGTTTTCATGTGATTTCTCAAAATGCACATTAAATGCATAGCAAAGTCTTATAAATACACTTTTTGACAGTGCACATAAACAAAAAGATATCAATGACAAATTTCTAAAGATGACTGGTAGTGATGTTTACACAGTGTGAACATTCATAATGTCACTGAAAAGTACACTTAAAATGGTTAAAATAGTAAATTTTCTGTTATGTATATTTTACCATGATAAACAATTTAAAGTTTATAAATTTTAGAATATGTTGAGCTAAAATAGTCCTATAAGGTTCAGGTAGAGCTGAGATTATTTAGAAAAATCAACATATCACCACATGATACACAAAATAGCAATATCTAGTTATCCAACTCAGACTAGATTTTGAAATCATTTAGAGAAAAATTCAAATACTTCAGAAGAATTTTAAATGCAAATTGTCATGAGATCAATTATTTATAATAACATTTGTTTTCCTAAATAAAATAATTTATTAATACCATGGGAACATTTAACCTCTCAATTTCATGCATCAAATAAAATATTATGATGCCTCTCATTTAATGTTTTATAGATTATAAATATTTTTCTAATATATAATAAATATCAAGCCTATAGTATATATAATATAAAAGTATGTCAATATGACAAACATTTTAGTGTTTAATATATGCAAAATATAACAAGGATCAATATTATTTGATGTTTATAAATCCATCTACATTTTAGCTTTTTAAAAATGTTTAATAATCATTTGAGGCATATACATGAATGCATGCAAATGTTAATCACTGTGAACAATCTCTTAGGTAAGTCATAGAATTACCAAATTAGCCAATTTTAAAAAGAACTATCATTTGGGGACTTATTTCATAGAATGCATCAATTTATATCAATTATAAATAAACTGACCTTATTTGTATATTGGATAGAGATGCAAGGAATGTTTGTCAAACAGCAATGTCAATGAGAATGTAAAACTTTTATCATTCCAAGTGAATAATAGTAAATGATTATATTTATCTCTTCATAAATATTTAGGTACCAGAAGTTTTGATGAGGCTCTTCACTTAGAAATTATTTTAAACTGTTTTCTATAGTCAAATGTGGAAACTTTTAGATAGTATTAGTTTTTCATGCATTTTATTTCATAACAGCAAAAGGAATCATAAAAGGAAGCTATATGGCTGGAACAAATGGAGGCTATTTCTGAGAAATTGCAATTACCCTTGATTTTTGATTTATTCTGATCTACCACAAGGTGATAAATTTGACAAAAATCTCCTAATGGTTTCTGTGCATGAAGAACTAGTTATCATTCTATTAATGATGTGCTTCACCATCCACTCTTTTCCTGTCTAGTGGTCTGGGGCATTGTTAGTACCAAGACTTCTGTCTCCAGTGAAAATCAATGCTTCAAAAAATCTATTCCATAGTTCACAACAGAATTGTTTCACCTTCAGGTCTAAATAAAAGGCCTCATATAGAAATATAAATACACAATTAGAAAAGCCTTATGATGAATATATATATACACTCTTCTGTAAAATGATGCTTTCAGAAGACATTAGAATTTATCTAAATTTGATGTTGAACAATCAAGAGGAGACAAGTATTTGATTCATATAATTGTCTGTTCATTATTAATTTGACCAGAGCAATTATACTCTGCACCCATGATTTAGGCTTCAATTCATCTTCATATTTTGTGGTTTTTTTAGTTGGATATTATCTCCATCTATAGTTATTTTGCCAATATTAAATCTATAATCTTTCTTCTGCCACATTTATTCTGAGTATATAAACTCATCTTCTTTATAATCAATAAAACTCAGTAAGTTTAGCCTAATACTAAAAACTTTCCTCCTCACCAATGTCTATAAACTTTCCTTTCCTGTCCTCTCATGCTCTCTGTCTGTGAGAAGTGCTTCTCAGAGGTTGAAGTGATCTAAGAGACATATGCTGTTCTTACTTCTATTTCTGTTAGATTCTCCAAACATAATTGTATCAGAAAAAAATAACCCATAATGCTTTGATCTCAAAAAATGATGGATAATATATTTGATAATCTCATTATTTGTCTATACATCTGACATTTTGTACAAACCTTCTTAATTCCTCTGGAGCATTGCACCATCATAAACAACTTTCTCAAACTTTTTATCAGCAATTTCCCCTTTTTTCCCTACAAATATACAAACGTTCCAAAGGTAAACAACAATAACCACCACAAAGTTCCCTCAGTACCTATACTGAAAATATTTACTTCTCATCTTGTCTGTCTCCTTCTTAAAAATAACTTAAATTTTAGGTATAATCTTCCCATTACACACTCATTCTTAACATTTGCCACGCTGGCTTTTGATTTCTGATCTTTCAAACCAAAAGAGTTTCTTTGTACCAAACCTTTCTGTATTTCCTTAAGCACTGATGTTCCCTTCTTAATGGGCTAATACTCTCTTTACAACTATTTATCTTTTTTTTTTTTTTTCAGATTTACAAAAGGGAGCAACTCCCAGGTTTATTCTCATAATGTTTAGATGGCTTCTGTCTCCCTATTGGCTTGATGAAGAAGGTGAGAAGTGAGGACAGAATGTCAGGTTAAGTTGACAGAAAATTTGTAGGTTCTTTATTTTCACTTAGTTGACCTTATGTTTCCAGGCAGCATCCATCTATGGTTAATTATTAATTGACCTATGCCTAACTGGTATTCCAGATTCTACACACATCAAGGAAGTATAAGTTTTGAAAAGTTTAACTCAGTTGCATGTATAGTGTCAGAAGTGAATACCTTTAAATCAATGTAGCTCTTTAAAGATCTATTTACAGATTTTAAAAATAATTTATCAGTCCAGTATAACAATTGACTCCATTACTTTAAACTAATGTGTTAAATAGTATGGAATTCACCATGCAATATGTTATGAGGTATATATGAATTAATAAAACAACTGTGTTTATAGGGTTTCTGCCTTAACTGTGACACAGAGCATCTCCTTTGATCACTGGTCAGCTTGACTGGAGTTCCTGCAAATCATTGTTATTCAAAAACAAATTCTCTAGAAACAGGGCTACCTTGTTTACTTTTAAAGAGAATGCAAAATCTTCCTGCATATTTTCCCACCCTTCCTATACTTTCCATAGATTCTTATATATTGGGCTTTGAAAACTGGAATTTCAGAAGTTTGACTTAAAAGTGAGACTGAATTCAAAAACATAGAGCAGAAAAAATAGTGATCTTGGAGTTTCAAGTTTGTCAGCCCTCTCCTTTCCCCTATCTATGTTTATCCAAAGTCACCATCCATAACCCTTGATAAACAGAGCAATAGAAATTCCATTCTTGAGTTGATTTGGCCCCCAAATTGAATATAATTGAACTCAACCAGGAAAAAAACTGAAATAAAAAGCTATTTTAGCTAGAGGAAGCAAACAAACAAAAAATATTCCGAGCCTTTTGAAAATTTAAAGTAAATTATACAGAGAATTCCTAACAAATTTGGACTTGACATATATGCATAAAAAGATTTATTTTTATACCAGTTTCAATCTGAAGGAACTAGCTCTGTAGCAGCAAGGTAAGATCTAATCCTCTTGGCTTGATAGTCAGCACACTGAATCTTTATTGAGGTGTTGGAAGAGGCAAGTTCCCATGCCAAGATTTAATTAAAGTTTAAATATTTGAAGGGGAGGTGATAATGTTGTCTCTAATAAAAATTTTACCTGTCTTGGGATCAATAGAGAAATAAGGTTGTCCCTGAAGAATGCTGTAAACGACTCTGGCACTGTTTCCATAGGTTGGGTCATCAGCATCCGTGGCCTTGACTTGGAGAACATAGGCACCTGGAAAATAAGACAATATGACTCCAGCAACTTTGTTGTATAGAGCTCAAGGGTATGTCTTTTATCCTCTGGACTCCTTTTTCCTTTGGACTTTGGCATTCTTTTAATCTGTGAGTATAAGAAGACACTGAGAGTAACTGAAATTTTATAGCCAAAATATTGAGCAACAATATTAGCTGTTAGTGCACATGATACCTCTTTTAAATAGGTATTATTTTCAGTAGCGCCATCATAAGACCTCAAAGTCGTTGCAGTAGCTTTATTGATTTGTACACTGAAGAAAACATGACTCCGCTTACATTATCTCATCTGCTTACTGTAGATGTTTAATTGCATGATTATGATATCAAAAGAAGAGATAAAACGTTTCAAGGCTTCCTGAGCTTTAGAGGGTATAAGTAATTTGCTATTGCAATTTAAAAATCAACATTTACACACTTATTTAGGAAGCCTTTAATTAGGACAGAATATTTGAGAAAGTGAGGAACCAAAAATAATTGCAAGAGTATCTAGAGAAGCAACTTTATGCCTCAAGGTTTAATCATTCTAAGTGATAGCTTATATCGGGAAACTTTAAAGACAATCCAATGCCAAAGAAGGATTGCAATCCAGTTGCCCAAAAAGGCAACGCCAAAGAGTGCTCAAACTGCTGCACAATTGCACACATCTCACATGCTAGTTAAGTAATGCTCAAAAATCTCCAAGGCAAGCTCCAGCAATATGTGAACTGTGAACTTCCAGATGTTCGACTGGGATTTAGAAAAGTCAGAGGAATCAGAGATCAAATTGCCAACATCCACTGGATCATCGAAAAAGCAAGAGTTCCAGGAAAACATCTATTGCTGCTTTATTGAGTATGCCGAAGCCTTTGACTATATGGATCACAATAAACTGTGGAAAATTCTGAAAGAGATGGGAATGCCAGACCCCCTGACCTGCCTCTTGAGAAACCTGTATGCAGGTCAGGAAGCAATAGTTAGAACTGGACATGGAACAACACACTGGTTCCAAATAGGAAAAGGAGTACTTCAAGGTTGGATACTGTCACCCTGCTTATTTAACTTATATGCAGAATGCATCATGAGAAACACTGGGCTGGATGAAGGACAAGATGGAATCAAGATTGCCAGGAGAAATATCTATAACCTCAGATACCTAGATGATGTGACCCTTTTGGCAGAAAGCGAGAGGAACTAAAAATCCTCTTGATGAAAGTGAAAGAGGAGAGTGAAAAAGTTGGCTTAAAACTCAACATTCAGAAAAGTAAGACCATGAAATCTGGTCCCATCACTTCATGGCAAATAGATGGGAAAACAGGGGAAACAGTCACAGGATTTATTTTCCTGGGCTCCAAAATCACTGCAGATGGTGACTGCATCCATGAAATTAAAAGAGGCTTGCTCTTTGGAACAAAAGTTATGAACAAGCTAGGCATCAATTAAAAAGCAGATACATTACTTTGTCAACAAAGGTCTGACTAGTCAAGGCTATGGTTTTTCCAACAGTCATGTATGGATGTGAGAGTAGCACTATAAAGAAAGCTGAGTGCCAAAGAATTGATGCTTTTGAGCTGTGGTGTTGTAGAAGATTCTTGAGAGTCCCTTGGACTGCATGGAGAGCCATATAATCCATACTAAAGGAAATCAGTCCTGAATATTCATTGGAAGGACAGATGCTGAAGCTGAAGCTCCAATACTCTGGCCACCTGATGCAAAGAACTGACTCATTTGAAAAGACCCTGGTGCTGGGAAAGATTGAAGTTGGGAGAAGGGGAGGACAGAGGATGAGATGGTTGAATAGCATCACCAACTCAATCGACATGAGTTTGAGAAAACTCTGGGAGTTAGTGATGGACAGGGAGGCCTGGCATGTTGTACTCTATGTGGTTGCAAAGAGTTGGACACGACTGCGTGACTGAACTGAACTGAAAGACAACTTACATTGTCTGTAGCTTTCCTCATCTCGTGACACTTTTCATACTTTTTATGTACTAAGAGAACTTTGAGGCTCCAAAATCACTGCAGATGGTGACTGCAGCCATGAAATTAGAAAACGCTTGCTCCTGGGAAGAAAAGCTGTGACCAACATAGTTCAGTTCAGTTCAGTTGCCCGGTCATGTCCGACTCTTTGCGATCCCATGGATTGCAGTAGGCCAGGCCTCCTTATCCATCACCAATTCCTGGGGTTTACACAAATTCATGTCCAGATGCCATGATCTTAGTTTTCTGAATGTTGAACCTTAAGACAAGCTTTTCACTCTCCTCTTTGACTTTCATCAAGAGGCTCTTTAGTTCTTCTTCACTTTCTGCCATAAGAGTGGTGTCATCTGCATATCTGAGGTTATTGATATTTCTCCTGGCAATCTTGATTCCAGCTTATGCTTCTTCCAGCCCAGCATTTCTCATGATGTGCTCTGCATGTAAGTTAAATAAGCAGGGTGACAATATACAGCCTTGACATATTCCTTTTCCTATTTGGAACCAATCTGTTGTTCATGTCCAGGTCTAACTGTTGCTTCCTGACCTGCATACAGATTTCTCAAGAAGCAAGTCAGGTGGTCTGGTATTCCCATCTCTTTCAGAATTTTCCAGAGTTTATTGTGATCCACACAGTCAAAGGCTTTGGCATAGTCAATAAAGCAGAAATGGATGTTTTTCTGGCACTCTCTTGCTTTATTGTTGATCCAGTGGATGTAGGCAATTTGATCTCTGGTTCTTCTGCCTTTTCTAAAACCAGCTTGAACACCTGGAATTTCACAGTTATGTATTGTTGAAGCCTTGGAGAATTTTGAGTATTACTTTACTAGCGTGTGATATGAGTGCAAATGTGCGGTAGTTTGAGCAGTCTTTGGCATTGCCTTTCTTAGCAATTGGAATGAAAACTGACCTTTTCCAGTCCTGTGGCCACTGCTGAGTTTTCCAGATTTGCTGACATATTGTGTGCAGCACTTTCACAGCATTATCTTTTAGGGTTTGAAATAGCTCATGAGTATAAATAGGCAAAAAGATAGGACACTGAAAGGTGAGCTCCCCAGGTCAATAGTTGCCCTTTATGCTACTGGAGATCAGAGGAAAAATAACTCCAGAAAGAATGAAGGGATGGAGTTAAAGCAAAAACAACACCAAGTTGTGAATGGGACTGGTGATAGAAGGAAGGTCCGATGCTGTAAAGAGCAATATCGCATAGGAACCTGGAATGTTAGGTCCATGAATCAAAGCAATTTGGAAGTGGTCAAACAGAAGACGGCAAGATGAACGTCAATGTTTTAGGAATCAGCAAACTAAAATGGTCTGGAGTGGGTGAAGATAACTCAGATGGCCATTTTGTCTACTACTGTGCCTATTACTTAGAAGCAATGAAGTAGCCATCATAGTCAACAAAAAAGTCCAAAATGCAGTCTCAAAAACGACAGAATGATCTCTGTTCATTTCCAAGGCAAACCATTCAATATCATGGTAATCCAAGCCTATGCCCCGACCAGTAATGCTGAAGAAGCTGAAGCTGAACAGTTCTATGAAGACGTACAAGACCTTCTAGAAGTAATACCCAAAAAAGATATCCTTTTCATTATAGGGGACTGGAATGCAAAAGTAGGAAGTCAAAAAACACCTGGAATCACAGGCAAATTTGGCCTTAGAGTACAGAATGAGGCAGGGCAAAGGTTAATAGAGTTTTGCCAAGCGAATGCACTGGTCATAGAAAACACTCTCTTCCAACAATGCAAGAGAAGACTCTACATTTGGACATCACCAGATGGTCAAAACCGAAATCAGATTGATTATATTCTTTGCAGTCAAAGATGGAGAAGTTCTATACAGTCAGAAAAACAAGACTGAGAGCTGACTGTGGCTCAGATCATGAGCTCCTTATTGCCAAATTTAGACTTAAATTGAAGAAAGTAGGGAAAACTACTAGAAGATTCAGGTATGATCTAAATCAAATCCCTAATGATTATACAGTGGAAGTGAGAAATAGATTTAAGGGACTAGATCTGATAGACAGAGAGCCTGATGAACTATGGATGGAGGTTCATGACATTGTGCAGGAGACAGGGATCAAGACCATCCTCAAGAAAAAGAAATGCAAAAAAGCAAAATGGCTGTCTGAGGAGGCCTTACAAATTGTGAAAAGAAGAGAAGTAAAAAGCAAAGGAAAAAAGGAAAGATATACCCATTTGAATGCAGAGTTCCAAACAATAGCAAGGAGCAATAAGAGAGCGTTCCTCAGTGATCGGTGCAAAGAAATAGAGGAAAACAATAGAATGGGAAAGACTAGAGATTACTTCAAGAAAATTAGAGATACCAAGGGAACATTTCATGCAAAGATGGGCTCGATACACACCAGAAATGGTATGGACCTAACAGAAGCAGAAGATATTAAGAAGAGGTGGCAAGAATACATAGAAAAACTATACTAGAAAGATATTCATGACCCAGATAATCACAAAGGTGTGATCACTCACCTAGAGCCAGACACCCTGGAATGTGAAGCCAGTGTGACTTAGGAAGCGTCACTATGAACAAAGCTAGTGGAGCTGATCAATTCCAGTTGAGCTATTTCAAATCCTAAAAAATGATTACCAACCTAGACTGCATATTAAAAAGAAGACATTACTTTGCCAACAAAAGTCCGTCTAGTCAAAGCTATGATTTTTCCTGTAGTCATGTATGAATGTGAGAGTTGGACTATAAAGAAAGCTGAGCACCGAAGAACTGATGCTTTTGAACAGTGGTGTTGGAGAAGACACTTGAGAGTCCCTTGCACTGCAAGGAGATCCAACCAGTACATTCTAATGGGAATCACTCCTGAATATTCATTGGAAAGACTGATGCTGAAGCTGAAATTACAATACTCTGGTCACCTGATGTGAAATTGACTCATTTGAAAAGACCCTGATACTGGGAAAGATTGAAGGTAGCGGGGAGAAGGGGATGACAGTGGATGAGATGGTTGGATAGCATCACCGACTCAATGGACATGAGTTTGAGCAAATCCAGGAG